AGCCATCTGTTCCCTCTCCTTTACAGCTCTCTTAATGGAGAAGCAAACCAAACAACATGGATCTGAGCCCTGCAGACAGACACACACACACACACACACACACACACACACACACACACACACACACCTCAGCTGCACACACCTAAACACAAAACATCACTTTATGTGACAGAGATGAGAGCTAGGCTTTTGTCATTGTATTCCCTTGTTGGATGTGTGTGTGTTCTGGTGCCTGTCTGTGTGCATGTGTTTGTGTGTGTGTGCGTGCATGTGCGGGTGTGTGTGTGTGCGTGCATGCTTTTTTTTTTCTTTACCTTTCAGCGAAATAAAGTTGGGTGTGAGCCACGGCTGTGAGATTTAGATGAAAGACACAGCCTGGATGGAACGTGATTAAGAGATATGTTCTTGAGGCAAAACAGGACTTGGCATTTGCTGAGACAAAACCTAATCAAATTAAAGCAAAACATGGCCATTGTTGTGGAGTGTGTTCTCTGCCTGTGTCACGTTTGAAATGAAACACTGTAGAATAGATACGGGCCGGTGTCTGTGCAGCATCACCAGCGCTCTGCTTTTATTTAGATTTACACACAGGCACTGACTAATGACGGTTGTGCCCAATGATGCCTAAAGCGCTTTATGAAGCTGTCTGGGTTGTAAAAAATGTTTACTGTGATGGAGCTGAGCGGCTCACTGAAACAGTATTATTGTTTACAAGTTATTGTTTTAGATTAATTCACTCAGCAGAATTGTTAAAATTCTGCGTCCAACAGGCGTGACCACCTCCGGTCCGTCCCTCTGTCAGGAAGGATTTGGCCGTGACTCCCCCCCGCTCTTAAACCGGCTCTCCACATTGATTATTAGGCCGTAATGAAAAACCAAAGTCCGACTGTTTCTCATTTTGTTTATTTTGAATGAACGCAGACCATGTCACGTTAAATGACAGGACGCCTCTTCTCCCTCTTCCTCCCAGTGAAGACATCTGTACGACATGATGAAGTTTCCTCTCCGAGTATCAATCCTGTAATTGAGCTCAGGGAGAGGAGACGTGATGTGCACACAGAGGAAGTGGAAGCCCTCGCTCGCTCTTCCCTCCCTTTCTTCTCTCTCTCACTCTTTCCCTCCCTGTCTCTCATCCAGACACAGGTTAACTCTGTGTCGTCACTCTTAATACCCGCTTTTACATTAAATTTGTCAGTCACCTCTCTGTAGACGGTGCTTTAGCATTAGCCGCCGCAAAATCTCTCATTGTCCGGACGCGCTGGGCCTCGGCAGAGAGACACAAGTGGAATCTCACAAGATCGTCTCTTCGCAGCGCCACATCCTGAGCGAGACAGCGGCCTGGAGCTACGATGTCTTTACTCGTGTCTCTTTATCTGTCTCGTAACGTTGCTTTCTTAACGTCGCACTTCGGATCCCGTGGATCATGAGGAAACTGAAGTGAGAGCGGATTAAATATTAACACAACCTGACACAGTCCCCAGCGGAGCTCCTCGGCCACTTCACATGATACAATTAAAAACATCCCTGCATGCATCGAGCGGGAACACTTATCAACAACGCGCTTGCTTTGCAGACTCAAAAAATAAATCTTATATTAATCTATGGAGAACCCCGACAAGGAGGAGGCCAAGGTTTCCATGCAGCCACTTAGCTGAGTAAGAGAGCTGGAAATAAAAACACAGAGAGGGAGATGAGAGTCCTACATTATTTATACACGCTAATGGCGGTTGACTGTGCGCGCGAATCGGCAACAGAACAATCTGCTAAAATAGACACACAGCTGTAATCAAGGCCATACATTTCCTCTTCTTCTCCTGTTCTCTGCTAACTGCGCGGTCAATTGGAGTCAGTTTAGTAGCATTTGAATCTCTCGCAGTAGATTATCTCCTTTTAATGGAGACAAAAGACAACGCAGGAGTAGATGGCCATTGCCAGAGGAACAGATTATACCTTTGTGAAGCTTCCCCAGCTGTGTACAGAGGGAATACCGCACACAGCCCTGACCGCGACATATAAGATATCACCGTGCATTTACCGCAGATAAGAACAATAGCACATGTGCTTTACCTCGTTCGGTCCGCGAAAGGAACCCATTAGTCTCGTTGTGCAGCCCTAAAGCTCAGCATCACAGGGGGGAGCCCGCCGCTACATGCACACACATGTGCCTCTCATTTCCTATGGCAGTCCAGGAGTATCCTTCAACATCCTATTGTAAAGTTTACCAGGGGAGAGATTCGGCGCATTTAAAAGTGCCCAGAGAGAAACGCTAAATGATGTAAACGCAGGCAGCTGCTCGTTGCTAATGCCGTACAGTAGACAAAGAGGCCCAGGCGAGGCTGGATGTGTACAGTATCTATATAACATTATGGGCTCTCTTTCATCTCCTCGTGCGCTCTAATTGGAACAACATGAAGACTGAAGGTGTAGTAAAGGTGCAGGGAGACGAGCCTCCAACCCAATGGTGACGTTTTTCTGTTTCTGCAGTTGCTCCCAACGTAAACACAGATTTGAGCGGCAGGTTTTTTACTTAGTCTGTACTTCACACCTGTATGGTCTAACAGCTTAACTGGTATCCCTCCATTGACCCAACACTAATTATGTGATTTAATTTAATATCAAACTGGATGAATTTCGCTCAATCTAATTTTATTTGTTTTGCCCATATTCACAATTTCCCTCATAGAGTTTAACAAGGTGCGACATCCTCTGCCTGTAAACCTCAACTAGAGTGAGGAAAACCTCAAAAAATAAAATCCTATTAACGGGGAAACCATCTAGAAACCTGAGAGTCACAAGTGAGGGATCCCTCTCCCAGGACAGACAGAAGTGCAACAGATGTTGTGTGTAACAGAGCACATCAACATCAAGCATCAACTATTTGTACACTTGAAACTTGAAACTAGATTGGCCCTCAGTAAAGTCCACAACACAGCCCAGACCCACGAGGCTCCTAAAATTCAACCTGCACTGATCCACTGATCTGGATCCGCTCAAGAATCCTTCCCTGCCTCATGTCACATCCTTCCACTCATTATCGTGATAATCTTTGTAGTAGTTTTTGCGTAATCCTGCTGACAAACAAACAAACGAAGGCAACTATGAATTATATGATTAATTATGTCACAATAATGTTTTTCACACAATGTTCCTCTGTCAGGGTTTAGGTCTGTTTGCGTTTGTACCACTCCCCCTCCCCCACCTTGATGTGGCAGAGGCAGGACATTTCATTCAACCATTAATTTGTTTTTTTAATACCATTAACCATCGGCCATTAATTCTTAATCACTTTTAATTAACTGTTTCAGCCATTTATTCACTGGGTAACGATTTCAAACCATTTATCTACAACTTTTACCATTTCCACCATTTGCCCTGCACTTTTAACTATTGATTTTAACTATTTATATATTACTTGTGGCGATCCATTTCAAAAATGAGTCCTTTTCACCATTGTACTATTCGATAAATGATGCACGCAGTCACTTACTTTTGCCAAACTACACACACACACACACACACACACATTCAGAGCATATTGTGTGTATATATATAAATATATTTATATTATGTGATCAAATAAAAACAAACTCTTGAGAAATGCATTTAATAGGAAAGTAATAGTCCAACAAATCAGAAAAGCAAATCCAGCGACACACTGTCATCATTATTTGATACTGTTCTGACATGCAAACTCTATTAAGCTGTCTTCAAATATGCAAAAATGATATGATTTTACAATGATTACATATTCACTTCCCCAGCTGGCTGGCTCCAAGCGTCTCCATTTGTCATCGACTATTGTGTCCAATTATATGATTAGCTTTGAACACTCCAGCACTTCGAGAGCTCTCGTGTGTTCTGCCGCGCAGAGTGATTCACAAACAAAGTCATTACAACATGTATTCACACATATCAAATAACAAAACAGATGGCCACTGTGCTCGCCGCCTGATTTGTTTTCCACACGAGTGGTAGGGGAGAAAAAAAAGAAAGTAGTTTGTCTGAGCTGTGCTTAATGCTGACTGTTTTTATTCCCAAAGAAGAGCAGCTGGCTGCCGCGCTGTTAGATCAGCTCCTATGAAAGACAATCTTGTTTTCATTAATTTCTCTACAACAAAGGCACTTGTTGGGAAGATTTAGAATTACAGCTGGTAAAGCTTCCGGATAATTCATCACAGGGACTTGACAGGAAACTTAATTGTTTTAAATGCCAGTTGCTGTGAGCGGCGCGGCTGGTTTTTCTTTGATGTCTAACAGGTGGGACAGATAGATGACCCTCTGATGTTTCATTTGACCCTTGACCCTTCGGTTATCAATCCACTCGGAGTCCGCCAACCAATAAAGCTATCATCGCGTGATGAACTGCAGTTCCCAGAATTCCATGTGAGATGGAAACATTGGAGTCTGCCTCGTCCTGTTAAACGGGGTGTAAATCTACCTCCTCTATATGCCCTGGTCATTTCTTGCATATGAACATTGTGTGAACCAATCAGAAACCATATGGACTCTCCTTTACCGCTGCCACACACTGACTTATCTCATTGAGAATTTAACTGCTGGTAAAAAGAATTAAACATGAATAAAACCAGAATCACTTTAAGCAAAGGCTCCGTGTGACACGGTATATTCAGTTGTACGATAACCGATCCAAAACTTTCCGCGGTAGACGTGGTTACACTACAGACACGGAGGCTGCCTAATTGTATGAGACACTACATAGTTACTCAGCTACACTGACTCACTGTCTAATCCAGTTAGGACTGCGTTGCTGTGACAGACACACTAACTTGATTATTTTAGCAATTGGCAACACCAAATCAATTCTTAGCTCGTGCAACGTTTGTGCGTGACACCCATCAGAGGCGTCACATTCAAACGTGAGTTGTTTTTCACAGAGAAAAACCGTCACACATTCACACACTGCTGTTTATTCACTTTTTTATTTTTTTAACAAATCACAGGTTCAAACGGCACCAAAATCGCCACTGCACTTGCCCAGGCCATTATCAATACACAAACCAAGTGTGAAGTCAGGGAGGTGAACAGTTTATACCTGTATACATACAGACAGACAATTGTGATAAATGGATCATTTGCAGGATCTTGCTTCTAACTCCTGAGACCTGACATGAAAGCACCCCTGTGCAGGAAAGAGTTTTCTCTCTTAAGGTTGAGGTTGCTCTAAATCTAGCAAATAACCTCGCTGACATCTCTTGAGGATGTTACTGTAAATGCACTTCAAGTGACTGAATCATTTAACATCTAATCAATATGATTCGCAATGCACCATAAACACACTTCAGTCTTGGTTGAGGGAGCCGTTACAGATGTAGTTAACTTCTCTTTGAGCGTCGACGGCATCGAAAATGAAACGAAAGATTTGCCCTCGTGAAGCAATTTGAGACGTAATAACATGCAGGAACCAAAAAGGGAGAAGTAACTCTGCACAAGACACAGAAGAAACCAGCACTATCCTCGTCTGTTCTGCTCTGGCAGATAGATGGGATCTCGCTGTGCCATGCTGCCATCACCTGGTCAATATATTTTCAGCAACTTTAAACGTGTTTGGTGTAATAATAGATTTTATATGTTAAATTTACTCCGTCATGATGCAACACTGAGATGCAAAGTAGGTGAATATAAAAATATGTCATACAGATCAAACAAGAAGAGAAACCTTGAAGAACCCACCATTGTTTCCATGCTGTGGAGGCTGTCAGACCCATGATGGTTGTGAGGCGACATAGTGAGGAGGCTGAGGAGGGTTTCAGTATCTATTCACAGAATCAAACCAAACACTGAGATACTGTCGGCTATTTCCTCGATGATCGCCAGCTTTATTTTTGCCTGTGTTCGTTACACCTGAGCCACAGACTCCGACGCTGTGTTTGCCGGAGCAGAGCTGCACAAAAAAACATCTCAAGTCTCATGGGTGAGTCAATCAGCTCTGAACACAGATGTTTTTGCCACAACAGCAGCACTCCCATACTGTGAGTGTAAATTACACCTTGGAAATTAATTGCAAGTTTTGATCCTTTGGATAATGAAGTATATTCGGCGATACATGCAGAGGAATCCACACAACACATATATATGTGCTGTTTCATATCATTGCACTGGTCACGTTGCTCCCTGATCGAGTGTGGAGGCTCTTCCGTCGCACGCTCCGCAGATAGTTCCTGTACAGGATCACGCTGATCACTCTGTCTTGGAACTGTTTGGAGACAATGTAGAACAGAATAATGTCCAACACTGTGCTCATGTTCATCAGGAATGTGGTGAACACCGCCCACGTGCTAAACCCGCCATCTTTGCCATTCCCCATCAAACGCAGCACTAAACACACATGGAAAGGCACGAAACACACCAACACTTGGATAATGAGCGTGATGATAATGCGGATCGACTTCTGCTTCACTTTCGGTTTGAGTTTCGAGGTGCGGCCGTGGATCAGGTTGTCCACGATGACGATGTAGCAGCCTATCATGATACATATGGGAACCAGGAAGAAGAAGATGAGTCGGACAAAGTTGACAGCGTTGTCGTGGCGTAAGTAGATGATGTCTTGCACCTTGATGCAGGTGGTGAAGTTGGAGATGCGATCGGGGTCGTGCTCGGAGAAGAGCATGGGGACGGTGCTGCCCAAAGTCATAAGCCACACCCCCAAACACGCCACCACGGCCTTGGGGACATTCCTCAGCTCCTTGCCATGCTTTGGCTGGACGATAGCCATGTAGCGGTCCGCGCTGATCAGAGCAAACAGCCAAAGAGCCATGCAGGGGTAGAAAATGGTGAGAGCGGCAATAACTCGGCAGAAGATATCTCCGAAGGGCCAGTAGTCCAGGTGGTGGTAGACCATCCTGAAGGGGAGCAGCAGGATGAAGGTGAGGTCCACCACCGCCACGTTTATCATGTAGACGGTGACCGAGTTCCTCCTCTTGGTGGTGAGAGAGAAAACCCAGAGAGCCGTGATATTGACGATGACTCCAATGACGAAGACGAAGCTGTAGAAGATCAGACCGGCCAGTCGGTACTCCACCGGCCCCTGTTCTGGCCTCTCAGCACTGGACTCCACAGTCATGTTGAAGTTGTTCAGATCCAGCTTCATACTGAAACTTACATAAGTCGGCAGAAAGACGATCGTTTCATTAATTATTTCGTAGCAAATGATCACTGTTTGTTTCCACTGAACTATTTTTAATTTATGTTCTAAACAGACAGTTACGTCTGTAATAAGACATTTTATAAATTAACTTCTGCTCCAAAAATTGCATGAAAGAGTTAAAGATGTCTTCTTTGATTAAATCTTTTCAGTGAATTATTAATATCTAGTTACAAAATAACTGAAGAGAGAGAGAGAATAGATATTGCAACTTACTTTTGAACATGACGTTGAAATATTCCCTCACGTGTCCATTGGAGACTGAAAGTTTGAAAAAGAAAGAGTATTGAAAGAAACCAATGTGAGAAAACACTGTGGTTGAAATAACCAGAAGATGCTTATCTGTGAGTACACATTAAAAAAATTAAATAGAACAATCAAATATATTTATATATTACATGTATATAAAGAAGATCAGAGTTACTGTAACAAATGTGGAAGTATGATCTTTGAGACTGTCGCTTTGTCTTGATGAGAAATCACGTGATTTCTGTGGTTCACATTTGAAAATACATGTCTGGTAAAAGAGAGGCAGATTATATAGATTATTCTTCTGTCTGCTCCTTTTCATTCATGATTTGAGCTTTTGGGTTTACATTTAAAAAAAAATTATTTTGTTGACAATTTAAATAAACTTATATGAGTGAGTGAATGTGAAAATGAATGTGAGAAAAAGAAAAGCAAAACTATTTCTGTAAATCTGTAGAATAAAACCAACAAGGTGATTTACATCAGTTTGTACAAAAGCACAGCATCAATACACACAGATAGTAAATAGCTTTAAAATCTCCCTTTCCTCTTCAAGTTTAAGGTCACACAGATCAGTTCACCTTCCCTTGACAATAAAAGACTGAACTTACCACAGGAATCAAACAAACATCTTGTCAGACTTGCACCAACAGGTTCATGAAGTAGCTTTGCGATTTAGCTGAGCACTTTACACTCACGGCACAAAAAGAGGAAGTGAATGCTCATTTCTCAAAAGGGCAATGTGATGGAAACAGTGGTGAGAGTGTAAAAGCCCCCAACACTTCCTGCATCGGCTGTGGGCTGCAGTGGCTTCTTTACTTGAGATTCCTTTACAGTAGCTACGTAGCTGGAACACAAAGGGCTACAGCTTTCCACAGTCTGCAATTACACCCCCTTAAAGAAAATGATGTGCCATTAGAAGTGGGAGTGTGTTTGGCAGGCAGAGAGATGGCAGATTTAGGGCGAGTTATTGATTGGAAAAGTGGGGTCTGTCACAGCACATTAGTTCTCAGGGGAGTAATCCACAGCAGGTTGCTGTGAGAAGCATCTGCTGCTGGAGAGAAGTAATTAAAAACAGGATGTTGAGGCAGTTGCCATATAAACAGGAAATAAGATGGTGGTAATAGACACTTCACGCTGATGCTGTGAGATGGTTTTACACCACGTCGACTTAATGGATGCAAAGCGCATACCTCAGGTGAAATGCTCAAGGTCAGTCTGGACCTGGATTGAATACAGATGAACGTGTGTGATTAATGTGTGTGCGAGCTGGTTGCAGCCGTGAATTAGGACGTTTGGCTCAAAGAACATTGTGCAATCAAAACTTCATCGCCCTGATCTTCTAACCGCTAGTTTTCATTCCTGTTATGGATCATACGAAACAGGAAGTAAGTCATACTTGACTTGACTAGACTTGTGGACTTTCCTGTGACGGCTCGCCACTTTCTGATTGACCTCCATAAAAGGTTTCGTCTATTTTGTACAGTTGATTCAGATTTGCCATTTGCTCTGACACCTCTCTGCATGATCGCTACGTTATTTATACCCCTGTATTTTCACAACAGTCTTCATACTGACGCTGCTCATCCAGTTGGATTCTTATTCCAGGGAAATAATTATCTATCGGCTCATCCTCTCGATGTGTCTTAAAAATCTCACAGCAGATGGTACTTTGTGCTCATTGCAATATGTTGTTATGACAACAGTCTGTGATGTTTCATCTCCTTGTTACTTGTCATGTGGTTGCCTCAGTGAGTTCACCACTCCATGATGAATAATAGCCTGTATACAATAATTATAATATATAATATGTGTGTAGAGCATTATATCAAGACAACATTGGGTCAATTTAGACTTTTGTTTCCTTCCCTGGATTTTTTGACTTTTTAAATTTTGTCTAAAGTCAAACAGACATCGATAACATTTTTAAAAAAAAGGAGTAGTTGCTTCTGATTTGAGATTTGAGATTAGGTGCTCGATCTCTGTCAAAGACGTTTTTACTTCCTTTACCATGAACTCATTATGCTGCTTTACACTGTCCTCTAGAGGTCGATAGTGATTACTACAAAAAACATTCTTATTTTTTGGAGCCATCAATTTCACTG